GGTAAGGTGGATATGGGTATTGTTGGGGATTGTAGATTGGTGGTGGATAAGGTTGGTAGTTAGGGTATTGGTTGTAAGGAGGTTGTTGTTGTGGGTACATTGGAGGGGGTTGGTAATTGGGTTGATTTGGGTAATGTACTTGTTGAACTTGAAAAGCATTGTTTTGGGTTGGTTGTTTTGGTGGAAGTGTTGGTTTTGTAGTTGTGGTGGTGTTGATAATTGGGTTGGTTTTGAGGAGGGGCTTGATTCCAAGGTGGCATATCAATGAGAGGTTCTTGTGGTTGTTGTCTTGGTTGATGGGGTGGGGTATTGGCATCTTGGTTGATTGGGTTTGGGTTGGGATTATGAGGTGGAGTGTGATTCATGGCTATGTGGTTTTCAAATGGAATGTCTTCAAAGGAATGACCAACAATTGGAGAACTCGGTTCGGTGTCGGTATCACTTGAAGTATGAACTTGATCTTCTATGTTGATTAGTGGAGAAGAGGAAGAAGCTTGAACTAGTTGTTGTTGCTTTGCTTGTTTGGCTAACTTTTTCAACCTTTTTGCTTCTCTTTCAATTTCCGGATTGTAGAGTAGTTCACCGGTTCTTGTAGACCTAGGCATAAACAATCAAATAACAAAAACAATCAAATAATAAACGTAATATAATGGTAAAAGGGGTATCGATCCTCGGGGAAATGGTTGTATTCAATCACCAATACAATTCAATAGAACTAGTGAAATTAAACTAACTAATTACAATTAAAATAAAAGGGGGGGGGGGTGTTTGATTACTTGATAACTAAAATACTTGAATAACTAAAAACCTTGCAATTAAGCAAGTTGATGAGATGCTCAAAGGTTGGGAATAATTAGTTAACTAAGACAATTCAACACAATGAACATTTGTGTGTTTATCATTAGGATCTAATACAAAGCTTATCCTTCATCCCAAATTGGTTATAGCAATCATGAAGCATGATATGCCAAGATTCCTCATAGGTAGTATGGAAGTTGGGGAAGCCCACAACACACCTTCTTAATTAAGATCAAGGGTCAATTGAAGCAATTAATCCCAAGAAATCAATTAGCTTTAAGAATGAAGGAATCCCCAATTCCTAGAGGATGTCAAATGCTTATACATCCATAAAGGAGATATGATTCATAAGCTAGAGATGATTTCTACCATCATAAAGCCTTTGTTCTAGAGAAATTCAATGATCCAATGCAAAATCAATGAAATAAATCAACTATTGCTCAATCAAATACTAAGCTCATGATCAAAGCATCAAATAAGCATAAGAATTGCAAACTAGAATCATAAACATGGAACAAATTGATAATCAACATAAATCCTTCAAAACCCACAAACATTCATTGGTTTTCAGCCAAAGTCAACCAAATAAGAGTATTAGCCACTCATGGCAACAAAGTAACAAGAACAATAATCTAATTGCATAAAGAAACTACCTAAGATTTGGAAAGATGAAAGGAAATGATCTCTAGCTCCCAAAATCGCCTCTTGCAGGTCTCTAATGGTGGAAAATCGTGAATGAGCCTCCAGATCTGATCCCCAAGGGTTATAGCAAGCCAAATGACCAAAATGCCCAAACTGGGCAGTTGCGCGGGTACCCGCGCGACGGAAATTCCACCCGCGCAAATGTTGTTGTAATGCTATTGGTCCACCAAACCACTCCACCCTTCCACTACCAAAGATTCCTTTGGTCCCCCCTTCTTGTCCATGTAATTTGAAATGCACCAATCATCATTTAGCCACCAAATTGATGCTCCAAGCCCAAAATTTGAATTTTATGATCCATCTTCACAAGCCCAAATAATCTAAGCCAATAACTTTCAAAGCCCAATTCTTCCTCTTTGATTCCGCCAAGCCTAATAATGCCTCGGGAGCCCACTAAGCCCGTCTCCAATCAACCCGCAACCGCAACAAGCACCGAAAAACCTACAAAATATCTTATGCAACATAACAAGCACCCGGTACGATCCATACTAAAGAAAAATAAATAAAATACAATGCATTAATGATAAAAAGATCTAAAAATCTAAAATAAACAAATAAAAATAAGGAAATAAAATAAGCTATCATAGTGTCTTAATTAGATAGACTTTTCAAGATAGAGTGATTTACAGAGGAAAAGTTGAACATACAATAATGTCATAAAAATAGTAAGATACAAAAACAAACAATTAAATGAAAATTCCTCTCGAAGCTGCACGTCATTTCTTGGATCGCTCTGTTTCTGAATTCTTTCTTGTCATATTCTTTAGAAGTACTCTTGGTTTTCTGTTTCTGAATTCTTTCTTGTTATATTCTTTAGAAGTACTCTTGGTTTTCTACTAGTCTGCTTGGTTAGAAGGAAAGGAACTTGATGGAGTAAGCTTTCATTATCGTGTTTGCCTTATCTATGAGTGAAATAATTTTTTATATAAATTTTAACTTTATTCTATACATTATTTTTATTATACTTTATATACTTTTATATTTTTAAATTTTAATTATTGTTAACGAACTTATATTTTGCTCTGCATCCCATAACTTTAACTTCATAAAATTAAAAACCATCTTAAAATTTCAACTGCGTCTTTTCCGGATTGTTATCAAATCCCATATAGGTTTCATGGAAATTTTTATGAATAGATAACAATTCGTTGATGGCTTTTATAGAATTAAGGAACTTAATATGGCTTTCATGGAAATATTTGAGGTAAATTATATGTTCTTTGGTAGCATTTAACGTAAAAAAAAAAATCAACATAATAAAATATCATTAAACCACAAATAAGCTAAAATATAACTAATAAATTTTCATTTTTACATAAAAAATAATAATAATAAAACAATATAAAAATTAAAATAATACAAAAATTAAAAAATGATCACTTAAAATTACATATAAACAATGGTTACATTGCAATTATTGGTTCCATTTAAGATAGAATAAACAAAGAAACCTTACTAAGTACTAAAGTTAACAAACGGTAAGGAATCATGAATAATTTATTATAAGTTATTCTTAAATTTCAAAATATCGTTCAATTTAATTTTTCAATATTATATTTATTTTTCTTAAACCTTTAAAATATCATTTTTACCAAAATTCTTTTTTATAATGTTTTTAATTTTTTATAATCATATTTTATACTTCAAAATTATCATAATAATTAAAAAACTTTCATCGGGTAGAAAATACAAAAAAAATTGTGCAACCCTTGTATATATCTACAAAAATAATGAAGAATTTTCACACATTTGACCTTGACGTGATATTTGTCATGATATCTTTATATGAGCTCACAAACTTTTATCATTTTTTAAACTTTTGTCCAAAATCTTTAAAATTAAACGAAATAAAGTTATTAGATCAAGTAAAAACAATTATTATTTTGAGATCTCCCTGTACTATTAAAAAGAGTAATTTTTTGTCATGTGTTATTCTATTAATCATTCTGATTAATGTCATACCACTTATCAAGCAATTGATTCTCTATTTCAAAATTCATAATTTAGATTTCTTACTTTAATTACATTAAATTAATAACATTAAAGTAAAAAATAAAATAAAATTAATACACCTTATAAGGATATAAAATTTTATGTATTTAATTGAATCAACGGTTATAATTTTATATAACTAAAAAATATCTCTTAATTAATAATTTATTTTAAATAATTAATTAATAAATTTGAGTTTTTACTATGAAAGCATAATTAATTTTTTTTTATTATAGCTCCTACATGTTATAAACTAAGATCCATAATTCTTCTCATCTAATTTTTAATCATAATGAAATTACAAAATTACCTCCAAATTAAAAAGAAAATCTATGACACATGGATGAAGCTCTTTTAAGCTTTGAAAGGCTTGCAAATGTCTTTTTAATATATTTAGTTAATAGTTTATTAGCTTTCATATATATATATATATATATATATATATATATATATATATATATATATATATATATATATATATATATATATATATATATATATATATATATATATATATATATATATATATAACTGTGTAAATTATAAATAACAAGATATTTTTAGAAAATATAAAATTGTTGATGTGGTTGTGAGACCACTTTTAAAAGAGCTTTGACACTAGATTGGTATGAAATATATATAATTTCAAAGCTGATGTATGTATATTATTTGAAAGATGAATGGTATAGTAATGGTCTAAATACTTTATAATTGAGTGCTAGAATATATATATATATATATATATATATATATATATATATATATATATATATATATATATATATATATATATATATATATATATATATATATATATTAGATGTGTACCCGCTCGAAGCGGGGATGATAAATAGTTCGTTTGGCAATGGTTTCTTACGATGAAATAATTATTAAGTTTTATTATTAGTTATTATTTATTAAAAATTACCACTTTTAAATAGAATTATTTACAAAAGTAAAGCCACTTGCATAACCAAAACATCCAACAGTAGACCAAACAATTAAACCTCGACAATTTCGTTACATAATTAAATAATCATATTTTGTGTTTTGAGTGTAAGCAGGAAATTTTAAACTTTTGAAATGAAATTAATCCATCTCAAATATTATGCTAAAATGTAAACAATATCTTAAATTACTTAAAGGTAATTTAAATATAGGTTACATTTTAATATAATCCAATAACTTGGTTGTAAACATGTTGCTCATTAAAAGGACTATTACACAATTATTTAGAAAAAAAATAGAAATAAACCTTTATCTAAGTAAAATAATATCAGTAATGAAAAGTCATAAGCAACTATTCTTTGGTGCTTCAAACTTCCACTTAATAATTAAGGTGTCATGCAATGCAATGCATATCAACACATAATAAGATATGTGAGACAATTTAAGATCAGAAGTAAATTACATACTTGAATCGATGGAACAAAGCACCATTATTCTTGGATAAAAGATGACAATACAATGTTTAGTTTCTAATTACTCATCTCTTAATATATATTCAGATTGTAGCCACTTAATTGGAGATTCCTTGATTATCATGGGTGAGACTGGATTAAACGATTATCTTAAAGCATTCAGTGGTGCAAAATCCATAGATGAGATTAAAATATATGTTCCATTTGTTGTTGAAGCCATTATCTCAGTAATAAATGTAAGCACGTACACAAAACACACAGTTTTATTTTTCCTTTCTTTTGTACAAGCATAACTACAAGAACTTACTAAAACGTGGCGTAACTTCATATTCATAATGGAAACACAGGAAGTTCTTGAACTTGGGGCCAAAACAATACTTGTATCAGGAGAACTACCAGCGGGATGCTTCCCAACGATTTTAAAACTCAGCAATGAATCTGATAAGACCAATTATGATAATGTAACTGGATGTCTAATCAAGTCAAACAAGCTTGCTGAGTACCACAATGAACTTCTCGTGAAAGAATTAAATAAAATTCGAGAGCTGTATCCTGATGCAAATCTCATATACGCTGATATCTACAATGCTGCCATGCAATTTTATCGCTCTCCAAAAGAATATGGTACATAACATAAAAAAGATAACCCTATCTGGAATGAAATAGTTTACATATTGCCTCGATTGAAACTAACAAGAATTTGATATGTTACAGGATTCACAAGTGGAGCTTTAAAGGCATGTTTAGGTAATACACAGGAGCTCCGATACAACGATTCAGTACTAGGGTTGGACATATCATTAACTACATGTGATGATCCAGATACATATGTTTCCTGGGATGGGATGCACTTAACAGAAGCAGCATATAAAATTATCTCAAAGAGCTTATTGCAAGGGCCATACACGGTGCCCCAATTCAACTCCTCATGCGTTGATGGATTATCAAGTTTTATGTAAATCAGTGGCTGAAATTTTATTATGTACTATTCAAGCCCTGAATAAATGTAAGCAAAGAAAATTGTATTCTATAATAAATTAAAACAATATATGGTTCCTATTATATTGGTATAAACATCGTATCTCATGCGTATGTCTATATATTTCTTTAATAACTTAGTACCTAAATATCCAATAATTTAGCACCTAAAAATCCAACTAATTGTATTTTTTTTTTTCCAATTATTGTTCGGCTAAATATCAATATTTACAAAGAATGGTATTGGGCCTTGTTGTTAGAGTGCACTATTACCTAATTAATTTATGGACTCAAGGTAAATGTTAGCCCGCTTTCGTTTGGTTGAAATTGAAGATTTAAAGCCCAAACAATTATTAACCAAAATTTAGTTATTAAACAACTAAATGGTTTGTCCATATAATTAAAAATAAGGTACATCTATTTATATTTATAAATAGAGAGTACACAATTGTGGTATTTATAATTATGATGGCATTTTTGAATTTAGAGAATAAAAGAAAAAAAAAGCATTCATATTAGCATTTTCATCTAAAAGAAAAAAAAAAATCCATATTATCATTTTCATGTACAAGAAAAAATGGATAAAGAACTAAGGGATGGCAATTCAAAGGTTTTGACCAAGTCAAAATTCGCTTTTATGTGGGTTTTCTGTGGGTATTGATTAAATCGAAACGACACAGAAAGAAGGAAGAAAAATCCATGTGGTCGTCAGTTTGAGAGAGATTAAAAGGAAGCAAAGTAATCCTCTTGTGTTGTGCAATCTGAAATCAAGGGAGAGAATGATTAGCAAACTATATATATATATATATATATATATATATATATATATATATTATATATATATATATATATATATATATATATATATATATATATATATATATATATATATATATATATATATTATATATATATATATATATATATATATATATATATATATCATGTGAGACGACCTAATTTTGTGAGACCGTGAGATGCATTTTTTTATTTTTTATTTTTTTTAAATATTTTTTTAGTTAAAATTAAAGTTCCGAAAATAATATTTTAAAAAAAGAATTTTTGAATTTTTCCATTTATTTTGCATTTTAAAACTATTTTTTAGAATATGTCAGTGTAATATTCTATTAGAATATTTCACGTATTTTTAAAAAAAATTCAATTTTTTTTTTAATTTTTTTTAATTTTTTTAGTTAACTCAAGTTCCAAAAATAATATTTAAAAAAAGAATTTTTAGATTTTTCCATTTATTCTGCATTTTAAAATTATTTTTTAGAATATGTCAGTGTAATATTCTATTTAAAATATTTCACTTATTTTTAAAAAAAAAACGGAATTTTTTTTAATTTTTTTAATTTTTTATATTTTATATTTTTTTATTTAATTCAAGTTCCGAAAATAATATTTAAAAAAAGAATTTTTGGATTTTTCCATTTATTTTGCATTTTAAAATTATTTTTAGATTTGGTCACACGGTTTTACAAAATTAGAATGGTGTCAAATGAACCTGAACCTATATATGTCGTCAATGATTGACTGATTGTGCATGTGCCTTTCGTTCGTGCGTGGGTGAAGCACGACTTAAATAATGAAATGCACAGGTGAAAACGATTAATTTTTGTTATTTTCCCACTTTTTACTTTTATTTCATTTTATTTTGTATTAGCTTGTTTCTTACTGAATTTTATCTTAAATGAATTGGATATTTAGGCTATTTAAATACTTAGGCCTTAAAAATCTTGATATATATATATATATATATATATATATATATATATATATATATATATATATATATATATATATATATATATATCACCCGAGTTTTAGTTTGGATCGATTTAGGGTTTCAATGAGTCAATGGCATGTTTTTTGGCTAAAACTAGGACTCACAACGTGACCATAGCGGGTCACGACGCAAGGTGTGAGTAAATGAAGATTCTGAATTATGTTGAGCTCACGACATAAGATGTGTTGCAGCCCAAGCTCATGATCTTTTAGGGTTCCCTTCGTATTTAAATCCCATAAAATTAATTTTAGGGTTCCGAAACAGTCTCCTTCATCCTTTAGTTCAGTAAAACCCTAACCCTAGTCTCTCATCATGATTCTGAACTTTTGGTGGAGTTTCGGTGGCTTGGAGAGGAAGAGGTCTTCAGCTTGGAAGTTTCATTTGCAACCCTTAGCTACACTTTTTGACCAATGTGAGTAATCAAGATCCAAGCTTTATGTTTCATCTTTGCTAGATCCAAGGTTTTATGCATATTTATCCAAGATCTTAGGAGTTAGAGTGTTGGGATTCCATAAAGTTGGCATCCTTATGGGTCCTTAGGGCCCCTTGATGCTTATATGTCATGGATCTGAAGTTTGGAGAATGTTTGAGTCCATGCTTGAGAAATTACTTCCTTTTCTTCATGAGTGACCTAGTTTGAGCTTAAGTCTCATATTCGACATGAAAGACCTGAAAGCATCGATTTTTATGATCCTAGGAGTATTAGGAAGCCTCCTGGAAAAGATGGAGTAGTGGCTTAATGGATTAAGAGGTTTTTGGATCGAATTAACACTCAGACGGATCTCACGACGTGAGAATTCTGTCTGTCACGTTGTGAGGAGTGAGAGACCCGACTAATTTGTCCTGTAGTAGCTCACAATGTGAGGCCATATCTGGTCGCGTCGGGAGGGCATGTCTGTTGACTTTCCTTGATCGTTGACTATGGACTTTTTGACCAAGTTTGACTTGAGTCAAACTTGTGGATTTTAGGCTATTAATTGAGATTCTATCTGGCTTTGGTGTTAGTGGATTCGCGGGAACATGAAGCACTAAAAAAGGGATTGTATCGCGGTGTTCAGAGTTCTTTGATTCAAGTGAGTTTTCCTCATTATACTTGTGGGTCGAAGGCACCGATGCCCTCCCACTAGATTGTGTATCCTGGTTCAGAAGACGTTCATATATTATAGTGATCTTTAGATCGTATCCTAATATATGGGATGTAGTATGCGGTAGTGGTATGTCAGTCTACTTGTTGTCTGATAACTAGTTATATGCTTATCTGTTGTTGGATATATGATATATCTTTTATATATATATATATATATATATATATATATATATATATATATATATATATATATATATATATCGACATTGTATGGTTGGGTTAAGGTAGTAATGCTTTGTGCGGTAGCTAACAAAATTGGGAGCAAGCTAGACTTAAATTGTAGACCCTAAAGGCAAGCCATACTTATGATGTAGGCTCATGAGCAAGCCATACATAAGATGTGGGCCTGAGGGCAAACCAGACTTATGTTGTAGGATCGGGAGCAAGCCAAATATAATTTATGGGCCCGATAGGCAAGCTAGATGCATACTATGGGCTCAGGGTAATCCAATATATGTTGTTATATGTTTTGTGTGTTGGTGATTTATGGGAAACTCACTAAAATTCATGCTTATAGTTTTAGTTATTGTTCCAGGTACTTCAGGTGATAGTGGCAAGGCCAAGGTGTGATCGTGCACATCCTTTGGATTTTATGTTATTGGATTTTAGGATGTTATGATTTATGATATATACTTTCGAAACAATGATTTTGTAAACATTTATGGTTTGGGTTGTTTTTGAAAAGTTATAACTTATTGTGATTTTGGGATGTTACAAGTTGGTATCAAATCCCTGGTTTGAGCGAATTGGATGAACATTTGTGTGAATCCAAACTCAAACTATGGATCTGTGAAAGTTTTGAAATTATTTTCAAATTATTTTCAAAAGTAACCAAGAAAGGATGAGATGTATACGATCAGCTGGAGCAAGGAAGTTTACCCCAAGTTGCCACACTATTACTTGTTTATGATGATTATGGTAGAACTGCATGCTAGTGATAGGCTAGGGATCTTCATGAATTACATGATAGAATTGCCTAATGTATAATGCATGATAACCTAGGAGGACTTCTTATATGTTAGATGAAATTGACATCATTACTATAGTTGCTTAGTGTGTGCATCATAGTTATACATAACAAAGATTGTACAGTCTGAGAATGTTTGATTTAGCTTTATTTCCTATTGTTGTCTGATTTAGGGATTAGGATAGAGTCAAGTATTCGATTGTCTATGGGATCCAGTGTTATATATGATTAGCATACACGAGTGGCTGTAGGGTTGGTGGAAGTTTCATGAGTGGGTGCAGTTCATAGCATGTCAGTGTGAGGAATGTTTATCCACTCTTAATAGAGTAAGGACATGATGAACGTATATACTATATGCTTGGGCCTAGAGGTCGGGAATTTCGTATAAGGATTTGCCTTGTTTTTTTTATTGTATGTTAGTGCCAGTCGAGTCTACTGCTCGAATGTTGATTGTTTTGTGGTTTGTAGGACTCATATTGATGTGAGTTAACTATCAAATGAATACGTGAAAAATTAAATGCTACGAAGGTTAAATAATCTTAGAGTGAGGGATTTGGTCTTAGTGTGAAGCTCTTGTCTGAGTCTAACCGTTGTAAGGTTGGGTCTTTTAGTTGAAAGATTATTTAAGTTTTCTTGCATGCAATAGTATTCATGAAGTGGTTAGCTAACATTAATAGGGGTTCTTCAACAATTAATGGCATGGGAGATAGAGAATCCTAGGAGAGCCTAGGAAGTGCTTTAGTGCGGGTATTACGTTGTTGAGCATGTATTGGGTCTTATTCTGAGTAGATGACATAGAAGACTCGGGATGATTCTTGAGGAAAGTATGGATAGGTGTGGAAGGTAGTATTGGGCCCGTACTACCAGAAGCACATGATCCATACTCAAATTGAGGAAATTTGTGGGGATTCTAAGGAGTTGGTCGGGGAAGATAGCATTGTTGATACCATGATTCGTAGCAGTGGTTCCATATCTATCGATCTTTTGGTCATGGTTGTATGGCTCTAGTAATTGTTTTGGGCCTCAGTGGCGATTTCAGTTTGTATTTGAATGGTGCAGAACTAGGTGAGTTTGTCAC